GAGTTCTTGCAAGACCACCAAATTAGCCCCACTTTCCCCTGTTGAGAACTTCTTTCTGCCACAAGAAACCAACTGTAATAATCGCATGGCTCTGCTTATCTCTCATCTTCATTCCTATTTTCAGAGATATTTATTACAACATTGTTACTCAGCACTCACACTCTCTTTCCCTTTCATCTCTCCCTTTCTCTCTTTCTCACTCTTGGTGCATTGTTGAGAGGCGGCGATGAGGAAAAAAAGGCATCAAACTCACTTTCCACATTATATGAATTTAATCCATCGCTCCGATATAATTTCATTTCGTTATCTCGCCGGTGTGTATCCCAAGAGAGCGCGATTTAAAGCAAAAAGTGAACAAGTACAAGATGTACAACATGCTCTTGGCGTCGATATGGTGAATTCTTTTCCTTCTGCGCCGTTGTTCTTTCGCCATTCGCCTCTCGCGGGCCATGGCAAGAAATTATCATCGCGCGATATACAATTTGTATGGTGGTATGAATCAAAAAGATAGATCGCCTGCGAGCAAATTTTCAAGATGCGGAACAATTTTGTATGGCGAGCGGAAAATTGAAAAATTGCAATTCACAGATACTTTGCTGGCTCTCAAACATTCGCGATCAATCGATCATGGGAGTCAATTGCGCGCGAGTAGGAAGTCTGCCGCGTGGTGAATTGGCTCCAAAACTTCTATAATTAGTGTGTATGAAAAATTCCTAACAGTTCCAGAACTGCCTCCACTTCTTGCAATGTCGAAACATACATTGAGAGGAGAGCTTTCATTAGAGAAATCTTAAGAAAATTGAGTTATTTGGCTAATAAATTAATCAGAAACCAACAAAATAACATTTTTTTTCAAGTTTATAGGCGACATTTTTGAATATATTTGAAAGTGTGATCAAAATTGTCACATTTAGTGCAAAAAATAGTCATTTTCCTAATCATAAGTAACGTTTGCGACTCTTGAAAACTACTCCTTTCCTCCTCAATAACAACTACTTTCTCACGAACCCAAAAGCTCGCCCTCCGATCAGAGGGAGGCTCATGCCTTTCCATTTAATTAATTTGACCCTCTGTGCCTCTGCATTTGCATATCATGGCATGGGCATGAAAATTAATTCAACGAGAAATTTAAACCAATGTTCCGCCCACGGACGCGACAGTCCCGATAGATGCTCGCGGATATGGGGCAAGTTGGAGCGCCAACAGCCATTTTCAGTGCTAAAAATTGTTATTATAATTTTCGTATTTGTACAAATGGAGAAAATCTCACTATTGGATCTTGACAGTTTTGCACTCGCGCGCGCGCACAGAATATTATTGTCTCTTTGGGCGCATTGAGTGCGCTCTTTTCGCCAAATGATCGTATCTTCTGGCAGTCCAGAAAATGGGAGAGAAATTCAATATGCGAAGAATTCATGTAATTGTAAATTGGTCAGCGAATGCGATAATCAATTAAGTCAAAAAAATGTGTGTTTTCTCCTAATTCATATGATTTAACCCTTTTGCGCGTTTGTTTCGCGCAAATGCGCAATTTCATCCGAAACAGGACGAACACAATTAAGGCATTTTAATTGCATGCCAGAGCGTCCCATTAGCCAAAGTGAATTTGATTCAGCGGCACAGCGTCGAAAATAAAAATGCCGCGGATGGCAGAACTTATCTGCGCGCGCGCCCCGGCGAAAATGCACTAAAAGGCAGCCTCATTGTGAAGTCAAGCGCGTGCAGCGAAACCGCGCGAGCGCGGAATGAAGAATTACAACTTCCATTCGCTGAAACGACACCCGCCCACAACGCTGGGGCGCATATCATATAATAAAGCATTGTTGTGCGAGACAGTCGAGAGAAGGAGAGAGAGCTTTTCGGCGGAGAGCACATTTGTGCGCCTGACCCGCGTGGTAACCGTTGTCTGGCTGTGGAAGCTGCATTATTCAATATTTCACACTCGCCCAGAGAAATTACTTGTCACACTCGACACTTTGCCCCGATCGCATCTGCAGACAGCGCTATTGAGGTCTTCACGGTTCCTGGGCAGAGAGAGAGAGAGAGAGAGATCGTGGCAAGGATTGCATAGACTTGCAGGCATTCCAAAATGGAACTCTGACAATGAAGATATCATTCTGACCCTCCGGAAAACCCTTCAATGGATCAAGAGAAGAAACAGAGACAATCGAACCAAGCGCAAAAGTGAAGGGAACGCAGTACAAGCAATCACAATCGTAAAACGATAGATAAAGTATTTCGACTCTGAAGACAGAAGTAAACAAAATCACTTAAGAACTTCATCAATCAACTTTTGAACTAAATTATATTCCCAATTTTGCAGTCACTTAATAAGCGAAGACTTATTTAAGAGACTAAAGTCTGGTTGATCGAAACATCATCGTTGTGAGATTTGTTTTTCCAAGTAAAACAAACACAGGAAGACACGATAATATAACATTTTCCTCTGTGTATCATCACACGTACTTAATTGATAGTGATTTGTAGGCAATAATAGTGATAAAATGTGTCCGCTTTCCTGCAAATTAATCACCCCTCGCGATGCACCGTCTTCTTATGGCTCAGCGGCCAAGACGCCCCGCTGCGCGGCACTCAAAGTCACCCAGTGTCGTCTTGTCTCATCTCCCAGTGAATTTTTAATGTCAAACTATCTGGGAAATTAATTCGTCACGGAGCAGTCATGAAGGGCGACAAGCGGTGTGAATTAGCATTTTTATGCGCGCATTCGCATCGGCAGAGCAAGAAAAGCACCCAATTAATTTACGATCGCGAAAGGACAATATTTATATTTGATGTTCGAGTCTTGATGGCTTGGTGAGAGCGCGCATAAAAAGAAATGCGCGCGCGGTCAATCTTTCGCATTTCGGACGCTGTTCACACGATATGAGATTGCGTTTGGGGACATTTGGTCACGCAGATGCCGCGGAGACAATTGGCCGTGACGCCGCTGAATGGGCTGCGCAGCGAAGAGAGGTGTATAAAAATTGCGGAATTTGTTCTTGTATGTCTCTTCAACTGTCCACTCCTTGTCGCCAATCACCGGGATCTCGCGAGACATATAAATAAATATCCGCTTGACCGATCAATTCACGATCGCGCTTGATCGCGAATTCCACCTGATTATGAATATCATTATGCGCCTTCATTGTGCACTTATCCATCTATTTAAGCGTCACATTATGTGATTTCTCCGCTCTTCACTCGCGAGGATCACTCGCATTAACAGGGACGAACTGGCGATTGATCTGCGCGATCGTCACCTGAGATAGTGGGATCATTTTTCACATGGACTTATGCGCGCGGAACAAAGAGGAAATGCGATCGCATTTCTCCCGAGGATAAAATATGATCTTCCCCCATTTCGCGCCCGCGCGCGATTCCCCAACGGTGAGCGCAGAGTGATCGGCCGGGAAACACGTTTTAGTGAATGATAAATGAGAGATTGCACGCTAGCTGTCGATCTATAAATGATGAACTTCATGAGATGACGCGAGATGACAATTCACCGATAAGAAGTTCTTCATTATTAGCACACTGTGTATAATAATGCGCCTCTTCGTCAGCCATTGTGCAGCGCCAATTGATGCACTTCGTTCATACAATGTTGAGGCCTTCTTGAGGGTGAGGATCAATTAATTGCTTTTATGCTAAAATATCGGCGCTTTCCTTGAAAATCCCCCGCAGGATGATCTCATTTCAGACCATTAAATACACCTTCTGGCTCACAATTAACATTCGCGCACATTCCTTAAACTTTGTCTTCGCCAAGCGCGCTGCTGCAATTTATGCTCATCATCTCAACATAACAGACCAGAGCGACAAGTCACTTCGCAATGGGGGAGACAATCGAAACGGCCCCATAACATCGCGCTCCATAAACATTGAATGGAAGAAGGCGTCACAAGTGGACAGAGAATTGGGTGTTTTGCATCGATGAATAAAAGAACTTCTTTGCCAATCTGTCGGCTGATTGATATGAAATTTGCTATTTGCATGAGCCACTGAATTTTTGCATATTTATGACAAGCATGAAATATTATTCAATCACTGGGCAAAAAGTCCTTAAATATGCCAACTGTGTGACTCAATAAATAACGCAACGCCGCAAATTTATGATTCTGCAATTCAATTAATTCTGCAAGTTTGTTGCAGAATTATTGTCTTAGCGACGCGCATAATTAATTCGGCAAAAAATATCACATTAATACACATATTTCTAAAAATAAATCTCATGCATTTTGAGCTTTTTTTCATGCTTTGTGTTCATCAGAAAAATCATTGCTAATCAGAACTTGTGATATTTAATTTATAAGGCACAAAGTATTGAATTAATTTATGTGGGAATTTTTCACAATTATCATCAATGCGTGCGTGAAAGAAGGATTAGAAGGACACACCTTTTCCCCACTGAGACGCCCTTTATCAGCTTCCTTCATTTGACTCTTGATCAGCAAGTGTACATAATGTTGTGTCTCTTTCGCAGTGAATGGCAGTCAAGGCATCATCTCTCCCTCGCTTTGCGTGGAGAATTGACGGACGAGATGCGCGAGCGATACGGCGGAACAGAAGCGCGGAGGTGACACTCTTTTATGGCCACTCGTCATCATTCGAGCTCAAGTGGCAATTTATGGAAATGACGCCTCTTTTGGACGGCAAATCGCACATTTTCACTTCATTACGCCCTCATTATCCGCCATAATCACAAGCTCTCATCTCTTGCAGATGCACTCCTCGGGCTCAGGGGCTTGACATTTTGGGATTTTGTGGACCAGAAGTGTTGGCGATCTTCTCAACTACTGGCCTACTAAGTCCCAACTTGATGAGCTCTCCTGCAACACTCCTCCGGGACAGCCAACAACTTCCGGACCGTCGTAGCATTGAGGGAATAATGTTCTGCACTGATTTGGGATTTCCATGTGACAATTGCGTGATACTCGAGGGACGCGTAATGCCCTTGGAAATCCCAAAAGATGGCACAGAACTAGGGAATCCGGACTCACCGTCTCCACTTCATTCCTGAGCAACTCCATGCGCCTCTTCACGGCGAAGTGCATTGTATTATCACGCGATGGTCCGCCGGATTCTTTGCTGCGCTGCATCTTTACACAAAATACACTAAAATATTATTGAGAAAAATAAGAAATGTCTAAAACACTTGAAATACAGCAGAAACACTGGCACAGTAACGCTTCAAACTCCCGATTAAAACTAACTCAAATGATCTGCAATCAAATGCATTTAACCCACCCAGAATTGTCAAGAGAACTGTAAAATTCAAATGATGCAAAAAATTGTATAAAAATGGTGTTTGATTGTGTGATTCAAAGGCTACAAATATACATTTTACAACACAAAATTCACAATAACTCACTCAATGGAATCAATGTCCATCGTAGAGAGTTTTTCTCTCATCTTTATGGTGTGACTTAGAGAGTGGCAATTCGAGGATAACTATTTTCTCTGCTCTTCAGCACTCTTAAGTTCATATCTCTGGCACAGCTTGGCCTATTGCCCTCATCTACGGTGCATTGGAAAGCTGTATAAATTATCTACAAGTGCTCGGAACATGTCAAGATCGTATGAAAAATCACTGTAGTCCTAAATCAGGAGAGGAGTTTCAGAAGGCAAATGTGTACCCAAAATCATTTCTCATGTTTAAACTAACAAACAATAAATAAAATTCATAAGGTTTTAAATATAATTTCTGTGTTTAAATTGAAAATTTGTTATTTAATAAAAATTTTGAAGGAATCTCCTCGTGTGTCTCTTAAAAATCCAGAGAGGAAAAATATCTTCTTCTTGCTCAAGAGAAGAAAGTCTCGCAAATCGTTGACAGACTTTAAAGTTCCCATGATTCCAACCTCTTAAATTAGGATAGAATAAGAGGTTGAGCACGCAAGTGATTTTCATAGATGCCGCTAAGTTAGTGTTCAACAGAAATTTCCCCCTCAGCCTCACAGATGGCGATCAAAGCGCTCAAGACAACACAGGGTGATCTGTCGTGAAATCTCCTTTCTTACACCTCGTGATTCCCACCAAATATTCCAAGTATGCAAAGCATCTTCGACTGCTTCGCGAAACCTCTGCCCGCCCTTCGCGGATTTTGAATGTTTTCAATAGAAGGCGCACACTGAAGCGCGGTGCACGCTTCACAGTCCCACTGGCAGAGAGAGAAACTCCGCAAGGGTATAATTAAACAATTAGAGAAACTCCCTCTTGCATTTCCGACTCGCGACTTTGTTTTGTCGAACATCTAACGCCCATTTTTCCTCGTGCGCCTTTTCGCCTTCTTCACCCGCAAATCCTCACGATCGCGCCACAGTCAAGGAGATGGAAATTATAGTGGTGCATTTCTACTTAACCAGGTAACAATTAAAAATGATAAATCTCGCTCTAGTGGACTTAGAAATGCTTAATGTTCTGGCTTTTTTGGTGGATATTTGCGATTCTGATGCTAAGAGAGGATAAAAATACAATCTTGGAGCTTTTCTTGACGTATTTTTTGTTTAAAGACTGTCTTTTCTTGAATAGAATTTATCATTTTTCATATTTCCCTTCAACTCCTAATGTTAATCTAATGAAAAACCAAATGATTTACTCGAAAAGCGTTTGTTGACGTTTATTTTTCTCTAAAATGCAGTTCAAAGGCGTTTCAAATATATTGTATTTTATATGAATTTTAATAAAGATGTTTTTTTTTAAATGAACAGTTTAACTTTTCACTCGTTGAACAAAAAGAACAGAGTTAATAATAAATTTTCAACAAACCTTTTTTGATTCTGAAATATGACAAAGTAGAAATCCTTTGAGAGAACTAACAAACACTGGGAATAACATTTTCCATGGCACATGAAACATATCACAAAATTGCGTATGAAACCTTCCGTTCTTGCTTCCATTTGAAACATGGCAATTAATTTTTATTTACCTACATATAAGCACACAACATGACTCGAAGATCAAAGCGCCTTTTTTTCTTCACTCGCAGTGTCGTAATATTGTTTTTCTCCGGCAAATGAAAGAGCTGCGATTGGTGGAGGCGCAGGAAAAAGAGAGAAGAAATTGCAGCGATATCTAATTATGAGCGCCTTTGGGAAGGAGGAGAGAATATTTTCTTTCAATATTAAAATGCATTTAATTAAGTGGAAAGCCCTTGGGTGAGTGTGGTTTTGCATGTCATTCGGTTCACTCCTCCAACAGAGAGATCAACAAACTCGCACATCTGACGACTTCACCCCCTCGGGCGCATCAAAAATCCACCCATGATCCCTTCAGTTCTCCATGTGTGCGCGCAAGGGTGAGATCTTTCAGCTGGAAGTGGTGTACAACGCACTGGAAGCGTACTAGTCGTTTTCCGACTCCTCCTTTGCCACGAAATACGGAGAAAAGTCATCATAAATAGGAAACTTCAGGAGATTTAATTAGAATAATTTTTTTCTATGTAAGATGTATTCACAAGCTTGAAATTATAATATTTAAATTAATTAAATAACTAGTGGAAATGAGTTGTGCAAAAGTGTGCAGATTTCAGCCACATTTTCTCCCCCTTGTGCGAGCGATTCCCAGCTTTTGAGCCTCGACATCGCCGAGGAACTTGTCACATGCAGAGATGCTCTGCCGTCAGGGTGGAAATTGTCATTCGAACGGGTGTTGGAGTTGGGGTGCATTTGATAGAGTCCTCGAGAGAGCATTCATTACCCTAATTGGGGGTGTAATAGCGAATTAAATCTCTCGTGGAGGGAGTTTTTGATCTGCCCGCGCTTTCGTGGGCAATCACAATCTGCGCTCAAATTGTAAAATTCAACCCTCTCTCTCAGTCGTAAAAACAGGGGTGCATAAAATCGCTCAATTTATCCTCCTCATGACGAAGGGCAGAGTGAGAATCTCTTGTCCAAACAGCTCTTCATCGCACATTTGAAAGAGTTCTCTTTTTTCCTCCAAAAAAGGAATATCATAATCTCTTTATGAATCCTTCTCTAAGCATTTTTCTCATCGAAAGCCTCTCACATGATCGCTATGGCTCTCTTAATAGGCACTCGCGATCTTTCGCATCGAGCAACAAAGGAAGATGATCTCTGGATTGGTATCTCAGGTATTTTTTGCGGCGGCGCGGCAAAATTGCGGGGATTCCTAAAAAATTGCGCGCGGGCGTCTTGATGCATCCAAAAATGCACTCAAATGGAGTCAATATTGGGAACCTCAGCCAGTCATTTTCCCTCACATCATCGTGCAATTATGCACACGCAAAGGGTGCCTTTATCGCGCGAGTTTGCCAACGCCGAGACAAATCGGCCGGGATTTTTTGCCACCCGCCAGAAGTTATTTAAATCACATCTCATTGCAGTGGAAACAGCGTGATCTCTTTTTCTGCCACTTCTAGTCCACGATTTCGGTATTTTACCAGCATTCACACAATTTTCAGGTAGCTTCAGTAGCCGAAATTCTTGATTATAACGCATGAAATACAGAAAATTTCAGAGTCTCTTCGGGGCGCTTCTAAGCTCTGTCTGCGCTTCAGTTGCTCCTCGGTGGATTTTTAGAAAGTAAATTGATTTTATCCACACGTCGAAATACCTTGAAATATGGAACTGGAAAGAGGAATGGCAACACAAAGTGGATTTTGCATGGCATCCAAGGTGGATCAGATGCGAAAAAGTGAACTGAAACTTCACCCGCATTGGCCGGAAATTAAGGCAATACGAGAAAATTGCTTTTGATTGTCTTCTCTTTTGCGCTTCTCTTAATCATTTCTGCATAGCAAAAAGGTGAGGGCGATGTTTTGGGCGATGCAGTGAAATCGAACCGTTCGCGATGATGAGAGTTTTATGCAACTCATTATTTATCTGTCATTTGATTTTGGCAAATTTGTATAAATCACTCTGTGCACAAATTGCTTCTTGGATGCGGATATTGCAGCCTTTGTGAACTTGCCTCACTCGCCACGGCTTCTTGGACCGCGAGAGATCATCATAAATGGCCCTTCGCGAGCGGACGAGGAGTGCACACTCGATCTCAGAACACAGATTCGGGCTTCATTTGCAACAGAATCTGCAAATGTGTTGAATGAGTAATTCACTGTTGGATATAAACAAGAAAACAATAAGTAAACCTATGCAAACTTAAATTCAAGCTTGTTTTTTATAACCTGAATAATGAGATTTATATTTCCAATTAAATTGTGCAAATTCTCGCTTTTTTAATATGAAATCATTTACCAGAAATTGCGTTTAAACAGCATTTTATTCAGGTCTAATTTCCTCTCAATTTTAGGGTAATTATATATATAATATTGCCAATTTCAATATCAAATATCGTTCATTTCTCATTAATGGACAATAAAATGATAAGTGATTCATTGACATATGAATAAATTAATAGAGCATTTCTGCCTAAATAAACCGGAATTTTAGATCATTTCACAAAACATTTCCTGCGACTGAGCATGAATATAATTTCATTTGTATGATAAATAAAATATATGTACCTCTGAAATAATATAATAAATTATAATTAATATAATAAATTAGAAATCTATTTGATTCAGAACAGTAAAACTCTAGCTGTTGATTAAAATATCAAAATTTATGCAATAATTTGCGTCGCATTGCGTGGTTCTGTTTATGCGCGGACCGAAAATGCAGAGTTTTCTCGTCGCCAGATTGAGCGTGTGGAATGCGTGTGTGTCTTATCGCTGCCCAAGTGCCATGGCATCCATACCACGAAGTGGATCAACTCTGGCGATATATGCAAGAGAGTCTGAAGGCAGAGGAGCAGAGATAAATGCGCCCGCAGCCATATTTGTCCCGCGCATCTTATGCATTATTCAGCCCAAGAGATTCGCAATTCCAGAGCCGCGCAGATCGCACTTTTTCCGAGCCTCGGCATCCACCATACTTCCACTGGTTGTGGGCAATTTTCCCCATTTCGCCCTCTCGCTCACCGGCTCTCGCTCTGTCCCATCTGTCCACCGCGGATTGGCCACCGCTCACCTTCGCACTTGATATGCAAATGCGCGGACTTATGGTTTCTGTCAGAGCGACGCGAGATTGCGCCGGCATCTATTGGAACATCTATCACGCGAAATTAAACACTTTCTGCTTGGCATTTAATCGGGCAGACAGATACAAATTCCCATCCCACGTCGCCAATCTCGAGGGCCAATTGATGCACTTATCCGTGGATGAGTTGTTGACACAACACAGCGAAGGGAAACTCATTCGGTGGGACGATTAACAAAGGAGCGATTAGGATTTGGTGCACAAACGGGGCTCTTTTCCGGCGAAATTGAAGTGCTTGTTTGATGGCAACGCTGAGAAGGATTTAA